ATTAAAAGAGAGGGGAAGACAGCCAGAAAGGGCATCCTCTGTGAGGTGTTAGACCCAAAAGGCATTGCTCCAGAGTTGGACAAGAGAAAGTAGTGACTTACAAAGGGCTGTGGGCTGTGCTGGTTTGGGTCCCTCTGGAAGGCAAGAGTCATCCTGCTATTGAAAGTATGTGGGTTTACACACACACAAGCATGCATCTGCTCCCTGCCTGCTGCTCCACATGGGTCCTGATCAGGAGCAGGGCAGAGGTACCTCATCTAGAAATCAGACTTGGCTGTAGGGACCCAGGAGGTCTGCCCTGGGCAAGGGCAGGGTTTGGATCCTGTACCAGCTGCTGCATGGGCAGAGATCAACCAGAAAAGCTGAACCAGTAAGAAAGATGCATTAAGAGATTTATTGCAAGGGACTGGCTTATGTGATCATAAGGCTGGCCAAGGGAGTCTGAATCCCTGGGCAGGTCCCAGGGAAGGTGGGCTGGACCTCTTGAGCACAGAGCAAGCTGCTGTCCACATGTAAGATCCCTCTTCTCCCAGAAAGCTGCAGACCTTTCTACTGATTACGTGAGTCCCATCCACACCATCACGTGGAGGATGACCTCCCTTTCTCTTTGTGTTCTTTTTTCTTTTTAAATCTGTTACTGGGGATTGAACCCAAGACCTTCACACTGAGTTACATTCCCATCCCTTTTTTATTTTTTATTTTGAAACAGGGTCTTGCTAAGTCACCAAGTTGCCCAGGCTGGGTTCAAACTTGGAATTATCCTGTCTCAGCCAGTTATGGATGTGTACCGTCACACCTAACTGAAGACCTCCCTTCCTTAAAGTCACCTGCTTCTGGGCCTGAGTCACACCTACAAGGTGCCTTTGTACCAAGTCCTCAAACTGATTAAACGCCATCACCACTCAGCCCCACCTACCTCCTCTACTGTCCGGGCTTCTATGACTTCTTGAAGCAGCCTCTCCTCATACAGGTCTCTGGTGTCCCAGTCCCCCAGGGGTGGCCCTTGTGCCATCTGTCACAATCCCACCCTGACATCAAACAGGTCTCCAAGAAGGGCTGACAGCACGTCTTCCGACTGCTAATTTGCACTTCTCGAATGAGCCTATGGAATGGCTTCCAACTTGGTCTCCTGCCTCAAGATCCACATTGCCAAGACAGTGTTTGTGACCTACAAGTCGTTCAGTGCTGAGACCCCTTTGTGGCTGCCGGACAGCCACACAGGCCCATCCCTCAGAGCCAAGGCGTTTGTCTCTGACCTTCACCCATGCGTCTTACTCCTGTGGAGATGAGTGGGCACAGAGCACCCTCAGCACCTCAGCTTTCTTCTTTTGGGGCTCACTTCTCCTCCCTGTCCTCAACCCCGCCAGCAATGCATGAGCGTCGCACCCCTGCCGCATTCTGCCCAGCCTGTACCCGTCTCTGGCAGACTCCCCGTGCATGCTCCCTGCACACAGACTGAGGTAAATTGTTGCCCCATGAAATGATCCCAGCTCCCTCCCTCTTCTCTCTGGTGTTCCTAGCCGCCCTCCTCACTTTCTTCCTCTTCCCATAGTTCAATCTGAAATTTATGGAAGCAAGGGAGTGATCTTTTCTTCCCCCTCTCCCTTCCCTGTCACTTTGAGGACTGTTTTGAGCAGTAATCATGTCACAATAATTTATGGTCCAAAAATTATGGCTGCAAAGTAGGAGCTGCTGCAGGAGCCGAGAAAGCACAGGCTGCTCGGCTCAAGGAGGAGGTGAGCAGCCAGAAGCCAAGCATGGCCCCAGAGGAGGGTGAGAGTCACCCCAAAGGCTGCAGGAGCCTCCTCTGTATCTGAAGCGGGGAGCACACGTCAAGTTGTGTCTGAGAAATGTCCTCCATGTGCAGTGTGAGGATGGGATGCAGAGGACACCTTTTGCAGGGTGGTGTCTAGAAAGCACCTGCAAAGTGATGATGGCAGAACAAGGGTCCCCATGAGGAGAGGACGAATCAACATGGATCGTCAGAGAGGAAGATCCCAATCTGAGAGGCCCTTGGGGCAGATGTACAGGCATTTTTGAAGAACAGATTGTTAAAGTCACAGTCTTTTATGTTCTCAGTAGTCAGATACAGTCCCTCCCCTTGGGCAGCCTTCTTCCCAGTGGGCATGTGAAAGAGTGCTCTGAGGACAGTGGCAGGTAAAAGGGATGGACATTTGAGAAGAGAGAGAGAAGGGGATGTGCTGGGATCAAGGGTGGCGACTGGAGAAGACATTTCTAAGGAAGAGCCATGAAACCAACCAGCCAGGGAATAGTAGGTGCAAAGGCACTGGGGCAGGAATGGATATGACACGCTCATGTCAGGGGAAATGACAGGGGGTAAGAGATGACATAAGTGCAGTAGCTGGAAATAAGGTCATAAAGACTAAAGGGCCATCAAAGGACTCTGGCTTGTGTCTGAGTGAGTTGGGAAGTCACTAGAGGGGTTCTGAGCATGGGAAGAACCCCATGCTATATGTTCAAGAGACCATTCAGGCTGCTGTGTAGAGAACGGACTGAAGACAGGCTCAGGAGGAAGCACAGAGACTGGTCCAGAGGCCATTCTATTAACCTGTGACAGTGCTTAGGTGCAGCTACTTGCAATAAAAGTGATTTTAAGTCTTTTGCAGATATAATTAAAGGTGAAGCTCATAGGAATTGCTGGTGCACTGGGTGTGTGGGGCTTGAGGGGAAGAAAGGCCTGAACACCCAGGCAAGCGGCTGTCCCTTTAGCTGAGACCAGGAGATGAGGCTGGGAGGCACAGGCGGGGCGGGACACACCAGTCAGAGGCGCTCTGCACAGTTTGGTGTCCAGGGTTCTCTCTGCACAGCCGTTTGTGCCGCAGGTACCACACTGACTCCAAGACTCAGAGCACATTCTTGGGCCTCCTGGTCACACCCGAGCCCCTGGGCTCCACTCCCGGTGTGTTTGCCCACAGAAGTCACCTCTGCTGCACTTTACCCGTCATAATGGACTGCCCAGATGCACCAGTCACTGAGTGAATGAACTTTCTGCAGAAAGATGGATAGCAAGACATTTGAGGCCTGGGAGCTGAAAACAGCTTAAAATAGGGTGGGGGGGGGTGCAGGGAGGGGCAGAGACCCGGTGCTAAAGGGCTGGGGTATTCAGGGGGCTCCCACGTGGTCTGCACTGGCAAGGCCATATTATGACTTGGGAGAGCCCCAGACACTCGGCTTTTGTGGGTCCCTTCTTCCATAAAAAATATTAAAAATTATACTTTATGACTGCATTGGTATCAAGACAAATATGCTAGTTGGAGTCTATGCATTTTTTTCTGATTTTAAAAGAAATTAAAGCATGTTTATGGGCCCCTAAAAGTATCACAGGCAACCCAGGATACACAAAGGACAGGAGGGTTCGTTACAGCGTCAGGAGACATGGGCATGTGTGCTGGTTTTCCAACAATTGCTCTGGGACCTTGAGCAGCTCTCCCAGTCAGGGCCGCTACCTCTTAGCTCCCCGAGGAGCCAGACACCGTTCAGCTGCTTCATCCCCATGACTCCTCAAGATGCTGACTAGGGTGTGTATTTTCAACTCTCCTCCCCCAGGGGAAGGCTCTTTCTCCACCTCTAACATTAAACTTATTTCCCCACCCTGGATCCCCTCCTCTTCTCAAATCATGACTGGCGTGTGCAGCCACCAATTCCCCAAAATCAGCCATAAAACCATAATGAGCACGGAGATACCAAAGTGAAAATGACAGAGAAAGCCATAAACATTCGAATAAATATATAAATATAAACAAGTCTATAAACCAAACCCTAAAGGTATTTTAAACACATAATGTGGCATTTATATCTCTTACTTGGCGCAGCAGAACTTTCCAAGGAAATTCACTTAATTCTATTGCTCACACCCCTAACCCCCACCCAGGAATAATCGCTAATAGTCTGCACCGTTACCGCCTCCCCCCTGATCTAAGGTTCATCCCAGAGGCTCATTCTTGAATTCATTATCATGCTGCGGTGAGTCGAATCACAGCGGATGTGGCCTCTGGACAATTGGGTTCAGCGAGATGCCTGGCACAGGGCTGGCCCCAACCTGCTCTGACTGTCACAAAGGTAGTTACCGCTCTACTTCCTGGTTGAGCGGAGAGAAGCAAGACAGGACTGAGGAAGAGAGGAGCTCATGCTGTTTTGCTTTGGGCTTGCTGGTTGGAGCGGCACCCTCTCACAGCACAGGGCTGTGGCCGCCCCTCTGCGGAGCGAGGGGGATGTCGCAGGGCACTTCTGCCCTCTCACAGCCACCCAGGCGCCGCGCACAGAGCTTTTCAGGTACCTGGTCACCTAATCCCCATGACAGCCCCTGAGGCAGACACAGCCAACTACAGAATTTGTGGGATTCAGTGCAAAACTAAAATGTGAGGCCCTTGTTCAAAAAGCAGGGAAAATGACATGCAGTTAAAAGTATAAAACTTTCTTCTTTCTCTTCCTTGAAGCACAGGGCTACCTCCTCGCAGAGTGCAGGTGCTCCAAGGCCACCAGGGCACTTCCAAAGAGCCCACTGGCTGCCAGGACCCCTCCAGGCACCAGCCATCAGACTGACTCACCATATTCAATCAGGAGAAGGGGAGTTGAGCAGGGCCAACCCACAGCACGCAGACAAGCCCCAAGCTTGTCACCAGGGCACGCTTGGTACAGGGCTTGGGCTGAGATATTGCAGGGTACACGCAGCCACTCTGACTGTCTCCACCCAGACACACCTACATGTATGCTCCACCAATCCCCAGAGCAGAAGCGAAAGCCAGTCAAGCTGACGCTCCACTCTAATGCCACAGTGCAAAGATGACAGAAAACCAAAACCCCCCTTGGCCGATTCTGTAGCCTGTCCCTGGGATGAATTTGGCCTCACTCCAACTATAAAGTCCATGCTGCGGTGTAAAAAAATACACTCCCCCCCCACCTTATTCCTTGCCATTCCTCCCTTCCCCAGAGACTGGAAACATGGAACTGCATAGCTGCATATAAGTTGGTCTTTCTTTCAGAAACTCCGGTTCTTGGAAAAAATCAGAAGACACAAAAAATTGCACTCAGTTTCTTTCAAAGAAATCTCTTTTTGGGTCTCATGGCCAGAAAGGCTTGTGTTTCCACACTGTGAAACACAGGCGCTTGAACGCTTTCTCCGGAGCAAAACTGGTTGACACTCCTTGCTGATGGATTCAAGCATTTTGACTGAAGTCATTCAAATTCCTGTCGTTTAAATCAGCTGGTGTCATATCAGCTATCTCTCAGTGCCATCAGCCAAGTCGATTAGACACCTGGTCTTCTTAGTTAGCTAACTTGTTATTTCTGAAAACAAAAATAAAAAATCAAGATTAAAATAACCCTTCCATTTGGGTAGCAACTGACTGATAAATTCGGTCCAAAAAGTACATTTTTCCAAATGACTGATTCCTCCCCCTGAGTCTACTGAGATGAAGAGCCATGGGGAAGGGATGATGCTGAGGTGTTGTACCAGCTTGCCAGACAAGTAGGGAAGTAAGCATCAGAATGGAATCATCGGAAACGTGCATTAGAATGGCCGCAGCTCAGTCACCTACAATAACAGAGAAATGGGATCCTGCAAAAGGTGCGACAGGTAATCCCCAATCACAGCAATTTTGTGCTTTGAAGAGCATTTTTCTCTTCTTTCTAGAAAGTCACCCTTTTCTGCCTCTTGTTTGTCCATAATTGATAAGAAAGTCGGTCTGATTTCCCAGAGAATGATCCAGTCGGTGCCCTGATTGCCCCTCAACAAGAAGCAAGCAATAACACAGCACCTAAAATTGGAAGGTACACTGTGTTTATTGGGGTCCTTTGAACATTATATTATCCTAAATTGACTCTGAAAGATGTGGTTTTTACCCAGTTCCAGATGATTATGATATATTCAGTGGTTGACTTAGTCTATTTTACACTGGAACTCGTGTTAAAATTAAATTCATTGTCAAAACTGAAACCACTAAAGCTGGACTTCACCATTCCCTTCCCTCTCCCTTTACTCTTTTCCCAATCCTCAACACCTGTCACCTCCTCAGACAGCCACTCCCACATTCTGGACCACTACTAATACCATCCCAGAGCACTTCCAGCCACGTAATGAGTGAGTAGATAAAGTCGCGCTGGAGGATCATTGATTTGATGTGCTAACTCTTTCCAGGGGTGCATGTTGTCAAAAGAGGACACCTGAAGTGGTAGATGTTGAGCTCAGAGAAGTGAATCATAGTGGTATAGTTTCAAATGTCAGGCAGCTATCTGAAAAGTGTCTAATAGGAGGCAGACATGGTTTTAACAAAACCATGTATATGAAAAGCCATATTGCTTAGAAAACCAGAATATCCTCTTGAAGGTATTCACATAGAATTAGGTGGCCCACTTTTTTCCAACTCAGATTTCTCACTCGTCAAATTTCTGCAGTAGGTCCCAGGCATTTCTGCAGCAGGAATAAACTGATTATTTATTACTAGTCATTCACCACCTACAATTCACTTTTCCAATTTTCCTCAGTTGCCTATACCGCAACACTTTGTCAATCCCTATGGTTTATTGACTGAGTTCTGGGGGAGAGAGTAAATGGATTGCTTCAAGAGTGACTATGGTGCAAAAGGGCATTTCTTTCTGGGCTCTAAAGGATGGAATTGACCTATGATCCAATTGATCCTAATGTCAGGAGGCAATTCACCATCATGAGGGTGCAGGTTACCATAATCCATCCTATCAGCAACATAATTTTCTCACACATATTATTTACCATTGTTATTATTCTGAGTAAATGTCAAGTCAATTTGTGGTTAAAATACTCTAAGTCATAAAGTCTATTCCTTTAAGACCCATTGGAAATGTATCTCATAGAAACAACCTGCTATATAAATATATCAGGTACAACAATAACAAGGGAGTCCATATTGTTATGTTTCACCAAAGGATATGTAACAGGTCTAGGGAAAATCCAAGACTCAAGTTGAAGTATATGCTTAGCTCAGTGGTCTCCAACTTCTTTGCCATGTAATTCTACCAGAAAAAAATATATAAGAGGGCAGGCACCACTCAACACATATGTTTAATTGTAAAATTATATATATATATATGTTTGCAGGTATATCAAGCAACACATCATTGTAAAATACACACAGGTGAAGGTCATATTTAAGAACAATAAATGTGAAGCTTTGTTTAAAGTAGATGTCATAATTTTGACAATTTGGGATAAATAATTATCTTCATGGTTGAATAGACTTTCATTGACACTACTTCATACTGTGGTTGGTGATGTGCTCATAAGTAGAACTGAGGAAGCAACAGCCTCACCACTTTCTTGTTAATTATTTGCACTTAAAATTAGTCTTTGTTGCAAGAACATGCCTGAGTGTCATTTTGGGTAAATCCTTTTGCATCGTGAGACTACCCATCTTCCAGAGGATGATCATCATAATAATATTAATAAACAATAAAAAGCATGTATCTGGAGCCTGTATGAGCAACCACCATCCTCTTAACTTTGCAATGTTGATCTTGACACTGGTAGACAAGGTCCATATGTGACAGGTGAAACCTGAAAGATGATCTGAGCCAGGACAACTTATGTTTTGTTTGTTTGTTTATTTGGGGTTTTTGGTTTTTTTCCTGTACCAAGAATCAAACTCACGACCTTGCGCTTGCCAGGCAGGCGCTGTGCTGCTGAGCTAAATCCCCAGCCCCGACAACTTATATTTCAAATGCTGTAAAGTTTAATTTGCCTCTTAAATTTTTGATAAAAATATGCATAAACAATCTAATAGCTTCTACCCATACCCCAGTGAGCAGTCTAATGCACCTGTCAGGTGAACTCCCCACTTTGGGGACTGTTGGTTTTAGTTCACTTCATTTTTTTTTCATTTTAAAGAGAAAAAACAATGAAAACAATTGTACAAAATTTCAAAACAAGATAGTAGGAGAATAACAATGGTTAATACATTGCATATTGTTATCTTCAAAGTAAGTGTTCAGATTCAGATTACAAGATATAGGCATGAAAAATTGATCAAACAATATAAGTGCATACCTTTCTTTTCAATGAACTAGTACAAATTAGTAGTATAACTATCTTAACTATCATGTAGATAGATAGATAAATAGATTTATTTTTCCTTTTCTCTTCCTTCTTTTCTCTTTTCCCCACCCTTATTTCTCCTTCCTTTTGAACAGTTTCTTCCCATTTCACAATATCTATCATAAATTTTAGACTTTATTTACTCTTTCAGTTTCTCACACCAGGGAGATGATATAATGTTTACACATGTGAGTCTGATTTATGAATATGGTCTCAAGTTGCATCCATTTACCTCTAAATGCCTCGTTTATCAGTCTTTATAGCTGAGTAGTACTGCACTGTATAAAAAAATCACATTGTTTTTATCCATTCCTCAGCTGTTGGGCATTTGGGTTGTTTCCAAGATTTAGCTATTACAAATTTTGCGCTGCTAGAAACATGGGTGCACATATATCACTGTGGTATGTTGTTTTTAATTCTGGGAAAATACCTGGAAGGGGAATAGCTGGGTCAAATGGGACCCCTAATCTTCGTTTTTGAGAAATCTCCACACTGATTTCCACAGTGGTTGCACCAGTCTACACTCTCACTAACAGTGAAGAAGAGTTCCCTTCTCTCCACAGCCCCTCCAGAACTTGTCCTTGGTTGATTTCTTGATGAAAGCCATTCTTTCTGGGGTGAGATGAAATCTCAGGGTTGTTTTAATTTTCATCTCTTAAATGACCAGTGATGTTGAACATTTTTTCACATATTTATTTGTTATTTGCTATTTCATTTCTTCATCTGAGAAGTGTGTATTCACCTCAGGTGCCCATTTGGGGGTTAGGTCTTTGAATTTTGGGGTCTGATTTTTTTCACACCTTTGTATGTTCTAAATAGAAGTCCTTTATCTGAAGGAAAAATAGCTAAAAATTTTTCCCACTCTGCATTGTCTTTTCACACTGTTGGTGATTTCTTTTGCTATGCAAAAGCCTTTTAATAAGATCAGATCCCAGTTGTTGATTCTTTGAAGTATTTCTCATGCAGTTCGGGTTTTGTTCATGAACTCTCTGCCTACACCTATGTCTTCAAGATTTCTACCTACTTTTTCTTCCAGTCGATTGAGTGTTTCTGTTTTAATATTTAGATCTTTGATTTATTTTGACTTTGGTTGCACACACAGTGATACACATGGGTCTAGTTTTAATCTTCAGCATGTAGAGAAGCAGTGTTCCAGCACCATTTATTAAAGAGGCTATCTTTCTTCCACTGAACTGTTTGACTTTGTCAAAGATAAAGTGGCTGAGCATGTTTGTAGTTGTGTCTGCACCTTTTAATCTGTTCCATTGGTCCTCAGGTCTGTTTTTTGCCAATGTCATGCTAGTTTTATCACAGTAGCTTTGTAAGATAATTTTAAGTCAGGGATTGTGATGCCTCCTGCCTTGCCTTTGCTGCCCAGTATTGCCTCTGCTATTCTAGGTCTCTTCTGGTTCCAAATGCCAAAGATAAAAATCACATGGTCATCTCAATAGATGTAGAAAAAGCTTTTGACAAAGTCCAACACTCTTTCATGATAAAAACTCTACAAAAAATTGGAATAGATGGTCTTTACCTCAATCTGATAAAAGCCATCTGTGACAAACCAACAGCTAACATCATACTAAATGGACAAAAACTGAAAGCTTTCATTCTAAAATCAGGAACAAGACAAGGATCTCCCCTATCACCACTCCTATTCAATATAGTTCTGGAAACACTAGCCAGAGCAATTAGACAAGACAGAGAAATAAGAGAAATAAGGACAGGAAAGGAAGAAGTTAAATTGTCATTACTCAGAGATGACACGATACTCTACACAGAAGAACCCAAAAACTCCATCAAAAGACTTGTAGATTTAATAACCAAATTCAGCAGCATCACTGGAGACAGTCAACACTCAAAAATCAGTAGCATTCCTGTACACAAACAACAAAATTACTGAGAGAAAAATTAGGGAAACCACACCCTTCACAATAGCATTCAAAAAAATGAAATACTTAGGAATCAATCTAACAAAGGAAGTAAAAGATCTATATATTGAAAATTATAATACTCTGTAAAAGAAGATCAAAGAGGATATCAGAAAATGGAAAGAGATCCCTTGCACATGAATAGGAAGAACCAACATACTGAAAATGTCCATACTCCCAAAATTGTTATACAGATTTAACGCAATCCCAATCAAAACCTGGCAGTTTGAAACAACCGTATTTGTCATCCTCTCTCTGTGCTTGGCTAGGAATGTAGGAGCTGAATAACTGGGTCATTGTGACTTAGCATCTCCAGTGAATTTGTAGTAAAGATTTCAGCTGGCGTTGCTGTTGTCTGTCATTGACTAGGAGTTGGGGCGGGGCTCCGAGAGTATAAGGGGTTCAGTTGCACAGCTGGCAAGCTGACATGGTCATTGGCAAGAAGTCTCAGCTCCTCTCCATGAGGAACTCCATAAGGCTGCTTGAGTATTATCCAGACATGACCACAGCAGGTGACCCAAGAGTACAGTGCTGAAGTGGCAATGTCTTTCATAACTTAGCTTTAAAGTTGCAGACCATCATCTTCACAGTGTCCTATTGGTTACACAGTTCAGCTCTGTGAATAACAGTGGCAAGGACCACTGAAGGTCACCTTGCCAGCTGGTTGCTGCACCTAATCATGTCACTGTGAGATAGCCTTAGAGATATTTTTGTACTTGATATTTAAAAATACTTTAGCTTTTTCTTTATTGATACTTTAGCTTTGAAGTCCATGCATGACACACTCGGAAGATATGTGAAGCATGAACAAGTCTGTACTTTAAGTAACATACAGGCATATGCAAACACAGACATTTCAAGGGATACAGCACCTGTGAGCCTTTCTTTCAAACATAAATGTATGTGGGTGATACCTTATGTGTAGGTAGGTATGTGATAAATGTTGTCATCTACAAAATAAAATAAAATGATTAACTTGGGGATAGTTTAGCAAGCAAAAAGCCCTGGCTTCAATCCCCAGCAGTGCAAAAGGAAAAAAAAAGGACTAAGGAGCATATAAGCTATGATAAAAGAACAAGGAGTGATCACAGAATTGCTTTATATATGAAATATATATATATATA